GTCGGCCTTTCTCCTCGTCGATCGACTGTTCATCTTCGTCACTTTGCTCAATCCTTTCTGATGTAGTCGTGAGTAGTTCCGATCTCCTTCTTCAACAGAGCTCCCAGCCATCGACGAAGTCTCACGACTCACAAATTTCAAATCGTGCACGGATCTTGTTCGTCAAACCGGTGATCTCTCTGACGCTGTCTACCCAGCTTCTTTGCAAAAATCTGGTTTTTTCCTTTTTTGGTGATTTTTGTAATTTTTCAGATCTAAGTTCTATGGTTTTGGTTTTGGTGGATCTAAGTTACGTGATTTTGCAATATTTTGGTGATTTTTGTTTGAATTTGTTTGGATTTGAGTTTGTTTTTTGATGATTTTTGTTCTTATTTTGTTGTGATTTGGTTATTGGCAGAGTTTTCGGTAAAATTTGAGTTTATGATTTTATTTTTTGATTTTGGATTTTGAATCAAGCAATAAATATTATGGCCCTGTTCGTTTGCCCCAACTTACTCAAGGAAGGCCCACTTGAGTGCTGAAATTGGCCCAAGTTCACGTTCGGTGTTTGAGAACTTGAATTCGAACTCAAAAATTAATTTGAGTTACCAACCCATTTCTGAGTTGCACTCTCCCCTGCGATTCGAGTTACTTCTCTACACTTCTACAGTGCAGATTCTAAGATCTGCTTCTTCCTACACTGTTGTTTCACGTGGTTCTCCTGTAAGCGATATTCTCTGGAATTCTTCTCGCTTATCGTTCAACCAACAGCCACGATCTGCTCCTTCAACGTTATACCATTTGATTTCTGAGAGTTGTGCATTATTGAATCACTATTTCCCCTAATCTCATATTTCAACCCTAGCCCACCATTTCGGTACCCATCTGCATCTTTTGTGTCCCCCTTCCCCCACCATTGTCATCGTTCTTGTTTCCCCTTCAAAATGGGGAAATTTGTGGGGACTCCGTTGGTTCGGCGACCTCGGTGGGTGAACATCGTACTTCGATGTAGAGGCAACAGTGTGCGCCGTAAAGCTCTCCAGCCGAGACGTCAAACTTACTTCCCCTACCTCTGTCGTCGCCAGTACCTCAGACTTGCTAACCCTTCCTCGCGTTTGGGGAATCTCCAAGGGAACCCAATCTCCTCCTCCATAGGCTCCAATTCGGTAAGTATTTTTCAACTACTTATGTTCAGTTTATGGGAAAAACTCATTTCAGTTTCGGATGATTTTTCGGTCTCTAGTTTGCATTCCGAGCACTACTATTTTGGTGAATTCATTATGTTCTCTGAAAACAAACATTGCCATTTCTGGAATTTTTTTGGTAATTTCAATCTCTAGACTTCATCGGAGCACTAATATTTACCCTTGTTTGTTCAGTTTCTGGAAAAAAAACAGAAACTGTTTCTGGTGATTTCAGAGTTTCTCAATTCGTAGAACTAGTATTTTGGTGAATTCACATGGTTTCTGGTGATTTTTTTGGTGATTTCTCAACCTCTAGACACTCGGCTCACTAGATTTTGGAACCCCATTTTGTTCAGTTTGTGGAAAAAAAGAACAGAACTAGACACAGGTCTATAAACAGACTTCATCGGCTCACTAGTATAGAAACAGTTTCTATAATTGCATTCTTAGAACTAGTATTTTGGTAAAAGCTATTGGTAGTTTGTTGGAAAAAACATTATATGGTTTCTGGTGATTTTTTTGGTGATTTCAGTCTCTAGACACTCGGCTCACTAGTATTTGGGAACCATTTTTTGATCAGTTTCCGGAAAAAAAACCAGAAACTGTTTCTGGTGACTCCTGCCCCCATTTGCATCTGGTCGTATGAGTTTGTACTTTGTTCTGTTGTAGTTTGGGAACCATTTGAAGAGGGACAGGAAGTGTCTTTTGGAAGAAACCTTTTTAAATCAACTTAAAACATGGATGAACCAAACATAACCAAAACTTGAGGACCAAAACCAGAAACAAAACGAATCGAAAGAGGGATAGGAAGTGTCTTTTAAAAGAAACTTTTCTGAATCAACAGAAAACATTGCTGAACCAAACACAAACAAACTTGAGCAAAAAAACAGAAAAAACCAAGATAAGTTTAGTGAAGCTATTACTCCAAAGCAACTTTCTTTTAACCCTTTTGAAAGAGGATCTTAAGGATCAACGCAATACACACACACACAATATATTAGAGGGGGCGTTGGTCTCTATTCATGAATAGTTCAAACATATGTACACTAAAAACTAGTGCAATCTAGATTTTACATCACATGTTTTAGACCTTCTCAACATGGGTTTATGTTGCTTAATAATGATAAAGAATCTCACATCTTGTCTAAACTAGAGCACTATAATATTATGGGTAGTGGAGGTAACGTAATGTTGTTCAGCATTTTTCAAATAAATGAATAAATAAATAAAAAGACAAACAGCAATGTCCTCCCTCCAAATAATCCAGCATTATTTAGCATAATTGTTTAGTTATACAAACCATTGCTGAACATGAAACATTGATGATCCCAATAGAATCAAACTTTAATGAAAAACCACGAAAAGCAAAAAAGACTCCAAACGAATGACGGGCATGTTCTGTTGTAGTTTGTACTTTGTATTGATATGATTATTGATTATCAATCGTTGTGCAGTTTATGTTGATACCTGTAGTGTTTTTATATTGCTCATGTGTCTATTTGGAACCACTGTTGTGCAGTTTCTGGAAAAAACCAGAAACTGTTTCTGGTTTTTTCAGTTTCTAGATTGCATTTCACCATGGCTATGACGATGTAATTGTATTTAATGGCCTGGTTCATTATGTCGAGTGATATTCGATGGTTGATTAATATTTGGTTGCCGGTTGATCCCATTAGTCTTAGTTGGTATGGTTGATTTAATTCACTTTGAATGCCTTGCTTGAGCATTCTGCCGACGTTAGCTAATACTTTGGTAGCATATTGGTTGCCGGTTTATGCATAACCTCATGGCATAATGTTCGTTTGCTTCGGGTTTAAAGTGTATTGCCAACCTACCACTAAGATTAATTGAACATAAACCATGGTAGCCTAATTGCCCTAGCCTAGGATAATGCTCCATAATAGGACGATGAGCGCCATTACATAAATTTGAGCCTCCTTCTAACATCCGAGCTCATTAAATGAACTTTGTATGCTATGTACATACGTATTGCTGCCATATCGGTGGGTTCAATACTTAGATGGCTGTGAGAAGGAGAGATAGAGATGTAAATTGGAGCCTAGAAGCTGAAGAGCAACTGCTTAGACGTCTAGGTGAGTTCAATTTATTGAACTCCGCCGGTACCACTCTGAACCGAGAGAAATTCACGCAATGGGCAAGGAGCTAAGTAACCATTTCAGCATCCCACTTGGTTGGGATAAAGTTAAACAAAAAACTGCTAGGTTGAAAAAAACGTTCGAAGCAGAGTTCCTACTTCGGACTGCTACTGGCCTTGGTTGGGATCCAATTGAGAAGAAACCAACGTGCACCGATCAATATTGGCAACAATTTGTCACTGTAAGTTCATTGTTTGTTTTCTTTAATTGTTTTACGCCTTGCTGTCTTACTTTGTCATTGAGGAAAGGGGATTTTCCATATTGTTTGCATTGTCATTATTACTATATATGCAGAGCCATCTAGAGGTCGAAAGGGCTAGAAGGAAGCCGTTACCAGATTATGATTTGTATTTCTGTGCATTTGTGAATTCACGTGCAACCGGTGTAAATGAGTACGGCCAAGATGAAACCCCTATAACTCCCCCATATCCCCCAGAGCCAATCCCAGGTAGCCCAATTGACATTGATGGCGGGTCCCAACGCTACAATGATACAAGGGATACTTCATATACAGAAATAAGGCATGGTGTAAGCGCTGGTGGCCGAACCCCACATGTTGCGTCGCAGTCCCGTTTAAATAATAAACGGTCAGTAAGAAATAGTCAGACACGCGTGCCAAACTTCATGGAGCGTGCAGTGGATCGCCTTGTATCATCTATTGAGGACCACGGTCGTAAGCGTGGTAAAAGTTCCGCCACCCCTCAGTCAGTTGAGAAGGAGACATCCCAGGACAAATGCATTGATTTACTTGGAGAGTTGGACATACCTCAGGATCAATATCTTTTCATGTTCAACTATTTGAATTCTCATGCTACACTGCATCGGCCGTTTTTGCGAATGAAGGAGCATCACCGCTTAGCTTGGATCCAACAGACCATGGAGCAACATGCAAATCAGCAAGTGCCGCCTCCACCGCCAACCTTTACGCCTGGATCACAGTATCCCTTTCAGTCTAGCCATCCAATGAACCAACATTTCTCACACCCCTTCCATCCGAACACCAACACCTTCCAACCGAGCACTAGTAATTTTCAACCATACATGCCACCAAACTTTCCACCATATTCCGGCCGAGATGGAAGAGATAGCGGCTGACCTCCATATTGGTTGCCATCATGTGATCTTCTTTCTTGTTTTTTTTTTTTTTATTTCATTCCTTGCACTCTATGATTCTGAGACATTGATACTTGAGTTAGTTTTAGATGCATATTAACATTTGGTCCAATTTTGGGTTATTTGAGGACCACGGGTATTTAGTATGTTTTTAAACATTGTTGGCCTTGTTGTACTTTATTTGCGAACCACGGATCTTTATTGTTATTGTTTAATGAGTATTTATTATTGACGACATCTAGTAGATGACTAATATTAATTGAATAGGTGATGATCAAATGCTTCATTTTTGCATACTTCTTGAACCCCTAAACTTTCATGTTATTGGTTAGAAACTTTGACAGCTACGGCTCACCATAGGGCTGGCAGCCCAATGGACTCTGACGCATCAGACGACGATAGTGATGATAACTATTTCAGGCATGTTGTCGCGGCTGCCACTTTGTTATGCGTCGGATTTGTGTATAGAGAACCATCACGCCGAAGGCACACTTCTGGTTGGGGAGGTAGGATTAGAGTGGACTACTATCTTAATGGGAGTCCATAAGTGATTTATGATAAAGTTCGCATGAGTAGTGAGGCTTTTAGACGCCTATCTTCTATCCTTGAGGAAAGGGGATTACTGCAACTGACAGTCAACCTTAATGTTGACGAGCAATTATTCATATTCCTTACAATACTGTGTCAAAACCAAACTAATAGGGAAGCGCAGGACCATGAGCAGTGCTTGGGCTCCACGGTATCAGAGTATTTCACAAAAGTACTTGAAGCGGTTTTCCAATTAAAAGTAGACTTCATACGGCATCCAGATTTTACTGCCGTCGATCCTCACATAATTGCAGGTGGGAACAAGTATTCACCGTGGTTCGATGTAAGTTACGAACTTATACATAAATTTTTTTCTCTACTTCATAATTTTAGTTATTTTTTATCTCACAATGAGTTTAACTATATCATTGCATAACAACGTATGTAAGTTTGTTAATTTGAAGGATTGTGTTAGAGCACTAGATGGTATGCACGTTCCATGTGTGTCTCCCCGTGAAACGGCCGAACTTTACAGAAATAGAAAGGGATATTTCTCGCTTAATGTGCTTACAGTTTGCTCATTTGATTTGAGATTTACGTACATGCTATCTGGCTGGGAGGGTTCAGCACATGATGCGAGAGTACTTGCGTCCGCGTTAGATCACCCGCGGAAACGATTTTCGATTCTGCCACCAGGTAAGTGGGAAAAACGCCTATATGTACATCTACACGTAATTCAGAAACTGCATCTAGATTATAAGTGTTGATTGTGATTACTTAAATACATGTAGGAAAATTCTACCTCGTCGACTCAGGCTACGCAAACAACGGATGTTTCATGGCACCATATCGGGGAACAACATACCATTTGCAAGAGTATAGGAATTGACGGGGTAGAGGCTTCCGCAGTGAACGTGAATTGTTCAACTACACGCACTCCTCCCTGCGTAATGTAATCGAAAGAACATTTGGTGTGTGGAAGGCCGGATTTCGTATTTTGAAATCCATTAACCGTTTCCCCATTGAAAAGCAAGTTAAGGTTCCGGTTGCATGTGCTATAGTTCATAATTTTATCCATATGTGCCGTAATGGAGATAGACTATTAGATCAGTACTCACAGGATGGCGTTCCGGTTGCTGACATTGATCCATATAATGTTGAAGAGGATATCAATGACAATAACAACCACGAAGGACAACCATTGAATAATGAACCGGAACTGGAGATGAATGCGTTAAGGGATGCAAGAGCGCATACAATGTGGGCAGTGTACCATAATCGTCGTACGGGCTAATAATAGTGTATGGAGAATTGTGATATTAATTATGTATATATTTGTGACTATTTGCGAGACCATTTTTAATGGAAACTCATCTTCTAGTAATTTTTTATATGGTATTTTAATTTATTAAATGACGAAAATGACTACGTTGTTTTTAAATTTATTACTACTTATAGATGATTCAGTTTTATTTGTTCAAATTAAATTACATAAAATCAATTAAATGAAAGAAAAAAAAATTTCAGGATACTATTCACAACTCAAGAATTAGTTGAAACAAACACAAACTCAAGTAAATTCTAATCTCAAATTATAACTCAAGTTTACACAACCAAACACAAACTCAAGTTATAACTACAACTCAAGTTATAACTACAACTCAAGTTATAACTACAACTCAAGTTATAACTACAACTCAAGTTATAACTACAACTCAAGTTATAACTACAACTCAAGTTATAACTACAACTCAAGTTATAACTCAAACTCAACTCAAAATCTACACTCAAGTTACATAACTCAAAAACGCCAAAAGAACAGGCCCTATATTTACCGGTAAATACTTTATTGAATTCTAGTTTGAATCTAGTAAATATTGTATTATACTAGTAAATACTTCAATTCACAATTTACTAAATACTATATATACTAGTAAATACAATATAAGTTTGAATCTAGTAAATACGGTATTTTGCAGTCATCGGTCAGATCCGGTAACTAAATTTTTAAATAAATATGGTAAATATGATATTTACTGGTAATTACGGTATTTATTGGTAAATACGATATTTATCAGTCACCGGAACCGATCGCTAAATTTTCAAATGAATATGATAAATACCATATTTATCAGTAAATATGGTATTTATCGGTCGCTGTGTTTTTAAATTAATATGGTAAATATGATATTTATCAATAAATACAATATTTACCAATCGTTGGAGACGATTATCACCAGAGCAGGCTACCGAAGACGGTCACAGGAGCCAGCCGCCAGTCAGAACCGGCAATAGTGGACTTGACCATAGAGAGAAGAAGAGAAAAATAAAAAAGAGATTTAAAGATATTTTTATATTTTTAATAATATTTAAAATTTAAAATATTAAATTATACTATAATCTACTATTTTAAAAAAATTTGTTAAAATTTGCTAAATATCATGCTAAATACGTTATTTCACTCATTCTCCCTAAACTTTTCTCCTATTTCTCGTTCTTTGGAAAATTGGTGGCTGAGAGAAACAGACTTTAGTGAAATATTTTCAAAGAACTAAAAAAAAAATAAAAAAAAAACTCCCGTCCGTCTATTACGGAGTTGTTTTGCCGAAGTTTTTTATTCTTATTTTATTTTGCTGTTATTTTTCAATCTAATTGCTACTTTTTTGGTATTATTTATTAAACAAAAATGATTTAATTTTCATCACTATTATTATATAAAGGTCAAACAGACATTTCCTTTTCTTTATCTTTCTTTTGCTTCTTCTGCACTTTCCTTCCATCTCTCTCTCATTTTTCTTTTCTTTTCTCCACACACAAACACACACTTCCACTTCTTGATCTTCTTCGTCTCTCGTCTTTTCATAAAACGCCATTTTGAGTGAATCTCAAGGACCATTTTCCATCCTCCAGAAAAACCCATCATTGCATGTCTTCTGCTCTCCATTTTCCTTAATTCTCACTAAACCAAACACAGAAAACTATCTTTTTTTTTTTTTATTCTTTTTTCAGAAGTCTCAAACTGGGAAATAACTGAAGAGTTTCAATTTTACAATTATAAGTGGAGAATCAAGGGGAAAAAAAAGTACGAAATGGAATCTGCTTTCAAGTTCATGGAAATGGAATCAAACGAGCTGAATTCTTCTGACCCAAGTCAAGACTGCTTCTTCAAACCCCAAAACTGGGACGATTCCTCTTTGGATCACCAGCAAGCCTGCGACCCATTTGAGTCCGCCCTCAGCTCTATCGTTTCCTCGCCGGCGGCCGCCAACTCCGGTGCCGGCGACGGTGCCATGATTAGAGAACTGATAGGCAGACTGGGTAACATTTGCAGCAACAACAACTCCGGCGAGATTTCGCCTTCTCAGCAGTCTTATAACAACAACAATAACAGCACAAACACTTCTTGTTATGGGACGCCATTGAATTCCCCTCCGAAGCTCAGTCTTTCCATAGCGGATCACCACATCCGGGCGAAGCTAAACGTCCCGGGGAGTTACTTCCCGCCGAGCCTGGTGCCTCTTTCGGGCGACCCCGGGTTCGCGGAGCGGGCGGCGAAGTTTTCCTCCCTTGTAAACGGCCAATTCGGGATGAATGAGGCCGAATTCGGGTACAGATCAATGGCCAGAGTTGATCCGGGGAAGTTCTCCAGAGGTTTGAGCAGTGGTCCGGGAGGTAGAGTCAGCGGATCGACCCCGAATTCAGAGAAGAAGGACAATCAGATTTCGAGGTCTTTGACGCCGGAGAACGGGGAATTCGCCGACTCCAGGGAGGGATCCTCGGTGTCTGATCACATACCAAGTGGAGTGTTTGGTGGGAAGGCTGAGAATGGTAATGCCAAGAAAAGGAAATCAATTTCTAGAGGAAAAGCCAAAGAAACAAACACCCCTTCATCTCCTAAAGATGCCAAGGTAAACAATATATCAAACTCTCCAACTTAAATTCTCTTAGTCCAATTTCGTTATAAAATTATGAAACTAACTGGTTTTTAGTAGTTTCGGGTTTCGATGATGTGGCATGTATACATTTGGTTAGACAGGAGAACAAAAATTTGATAGAGGATCTAGTTAAGTGAATTGTGTTGAGAATTTTCGTTGGTGGGCTAAAGAGTGTCATTTTTCGTGTTTTAGGTTGCGGGGGAGACCAGCGAATCGGATGCAAAAAGGAGCAAGAAAGATGGAGCTTCTTCTTCAGGGAATGAGAAGGAAAATGGTGGAAAGGCAAAGGCGGAATCCGGAGATGGGAATGAGAAGCAAACAAAGGAGAATTCAAAGCCACCAGAGCCTCCAAAGGACTACATCCATGTCAGAGCTAGAAGGGGACAAGCTACTGATAGCCATAGTCTTGCTGAGAGAGTACGGACGGATTCACTAAATGAGGTTCTCTTTAAGTCTAAATTTAGCTCCATTGGTCCACTTTCCACTAACATGGCAATCTCGTCTTTGTTGTTATTTTTGCAGGTTAGGAGAGAGAAAATCAGTGAGAGGATGAAGTTTTTACAGGATCTTGTCCCTGGCTGCAACAAGGTGATTAAAAAAGAAAAAAATAAGATATTTTGGGCTTAAATGGTTGATATATTATGATCACAAGAGTGGTTCTGAATTTTCTTTGGATTTGAGTTTCAGGTTACTGGTAAAGCAGTTATGCTAGATGAGATCATAAACTATGTGCAGTCATTGCAGCGCCAAGTTGAGGTGAAATTTTAGAACCATTTAAAGGGTACATGATTCTTTTGCTTGTGGTTTAAGTCGCACAATTTTCTTTTGCTAATTTTTTGTGTTCTCTTTCAGTTTCTTTCAATGAAGTTGGCAACTGTCAATCCTAGGATGGATTTCAACATGGAGGCTCTTCTGTCTAAGGATGTAAGTTTTTCAGTCTTTTCAACAACTTTCTTTGTGGGATTCCTCAGAATTTGGGACTTGACTTTTTTCTCATTTATTTCTCAGATCTTTCAATCTCGTGGATCTTTCCCACATGCCCCTTATCTATTAGATTCTTCGTCTTTGCCTGCATTCCCATTTGGGTATCATCATCCCCAGCAAATGCCTCCACTGCATAACACCATTTCTACTGCTACGGGGACCCAATTCCCAGTAAATCCTTTGAGTGCCCAGGCACTGCATAGAACTCCTAGCCTTCAATTGCCTGCCATGGATGGATTTGCTGAATCTGACCCACAGGTAATGCAGAAAAAAAAAAAAAAAAAAAAAAAAAAAAGAGGAGAGAAAACTTGGTTTGTTTCGGTTGGTGTTCTAGTTATTAAAGGAATCCTTTGATAGCGTTAGGACAGGGCTTCACTGTTGGATCGTCATCAAGTTATGTTAAATTATCATGCTTTTCATAATCTGATAAGATCTGACGGTTAAAAACATTGTGTCCTACCGGTAGGGTATTTGTTCTCGATGTTCAGGAGTCAGGCATTGGATAGAACTCCAATGATTCTCCAAATGATTATTTCCCATTTCACATTCTCAAGAATGTTAAAATTTTTGATTTCCAGGTTCCTACTTTCTTTGAGGATGATCTCCAAAGTGTAGTTCAGATGGGTTTTGGTCAGATTCAGCAACAAAACTTCGAAGGTAGACAAAAAGTTATATATACATATATAGAAATCTATTGTTCCAGCTGTTTGTCTGGTATTTTCAGAATTTGGATGTCTAATCCACAGTTTTGTTATTTGCAGGCTCAATGGCTTCACCTCAAATGAAAGTTGAGCTATAATAATACTTCTGCATTAACCTCTTGGATTTCATTTGAGGCCTCCACTGGAGCGAGAAAGGTGTCTGTCTCTGTACATACAGATCAAATTCCAGTTTGAGTGAATCTCTTTAGCTTGGACAAAGAAGAACAGTTTCTCTTCTTTTATTTTTAGTCCATTATTCAAAAAAAGTCGATTGGCGACTTAATTCTTTGGCGGATTCTTTTGAGAATTCGACACTAAACATCTTAGAACTAATTTGCAAACAAGGTCCAGAGTGATTCTGTGAAACTCTCACATTTAAGATGTAACATGGTCAGAAGAGAAAGAAAAAAGGGTGTTTAGGAGAGTTGGATAGAGGAAGCAATTTTTTTTGCATGAAATCTTTTGATCCAACTTTTATGTATGAAACTTACTATTTGAATACTATTACTGATTCATTGAGACTCCTTAATGTTTATAGTTCCTTCTTCTTGCTCTCTGTCCCATCTCATTGTTGCAATCTTTTTTTTTTTTTTTTTTTGTTCATGAAATGATATTACTCTCCACTTTTGATTGTGTGCCGGGAAAGTGGAAGAAAATTAGATAAAAGCAGTTTGCAATTTGCAAACAACCTTTTGGAGCTCCAATAGTCGTACGATGTCCTTGTCTTTTTTTCTTTTTCTTTTTCATTTTTCCTTTGATCTTTTCTTAGCAACCAAAGCTAATAAATAGTTAAATGAAAATGATGAAAATGACATTCTTAAGTTGCTGTCAAGTTTAGCTGGAAAATGTTGATAGTGGGGGCCCACAACCAGAGTGATATTACCTTACGTTAAATCGCGTAACTTGTGGTTTAACAGATGTGTACCGGAAACCAGCTGTTAAGTGGGGACAAATGGTCTCTTAAGTCCAATTGATGATTAAGAATGATTTGTGTTCTACCAAAAAGAAAAGGGATAAAATAATAAAGAAAAAAGTGGGAAGATTTTTTTTTTTTTTTTTTCTTTTTTTTTTTTTTTTTTTTTTTCCTTCTTCTTTTGTTTAATGTTTTTCAGCTGGAATCCAAAGTCATTTTACTGTGCAAGAAAACCACAGCAAACTTCCCCCACCCTTTTTGGTTCTTTTTATTTTCGGAAAATTTTATCGTATGTATGAAAAAATTACCCTAGTAGTAGAATACATTTTTTTTTTTAAATAAAAGCATAACACATTTTAATTATTATATTACCATTAAATTTCATTAAAATTTGCGTCTATTGATTCTCTTTTTTTTATCACACCCTTTTAATAAAATTCTTATTATTGACATACCCATTAATAAAATTCCTTTAAAGGACAAAAATATTTTTCAAAAAATACTCTCTTGTAAATAATATCAATACTTTTGTATGATAATATTGCAAGGTGACTTGACTATCTAGAACTGTTTCTATAATTAGAATATTTTTTCATACCATGTCACATAATCCTTCTTCTTTTTTTTTTTTTTTGATTTTTTTGCAAGTTGGAAAATGGGAATTTTGTTCAGAATTTGAGAAGAGCATCAAAGACCCAGGTTGGCAGCAGTGAAGGTCTGACTTGGCTGAGGAATCTCATAGCTTTTACAATGCCAACCAGTTGAGAAAGATTTATGGGAAAGAAAATCTAAAATGGATAAGTGGAAGAATAAAGTTTGTGGAGTTCAGATGTAGATTGATGCGCTTTTAAAGAGAGAATGAAAGCTTCCATCAAAGGGTGTCAGCAACATCCAATTTCCAAACACTATCAAAAGGAAATATTTCACCATTCCCTCTTTATCTTTATTTTTATTATTTTATTTTCTAGTGAATGTGTCCATTCAATATGTATCTAATAAATATGTAAGAGCAACTGAAGCCAGTTATAAGAATTTACAATTTTTACGGTTGGACCTCAAGAATAAACTGTCTGTAGGTCCATATTTTCAGACTTATTTTATGAAGATCTCTCTGGTAAAAATTGAAAAAATAAAATATTAAAAAAACTATTTTCAACAGTTAAATTTGTATCATAAACTATCTATTTTGCGTACTTTTTTAATCTAATATGATCTTATTAGATCGAACAGTTATAAATAAGCCCAAGAAAATTTTACTAGAAAAAGACCCTTATTCTATATATTTTTTACTTTAATGTGATTTTAATCAATTACAACAGTAAAAAAAAATGTAATATTAATAAAAGGTCTTATCATAAAAAGACAATTAGGGAAAAAAAATTTTAGGGCCAAATTTGAGAAATAAAAAAAAAGAATGTATTGTAGAGGAAAAAAAAAGGAGGGAAGAAAGAAATAGGGGAAAAAAAGAAAAAGAAAAAAAAAAGACTATAGTATAAAAAAAAATTGAGTTAATGTCCACTCCGCCAAAAAAAAAAAAAGAAAAAAAAGGGTTAATGTGGAGAACATGTAAAATGAAAAATAAAAAATTAAACAGAAAATAGGCTGGCAGTCCTTACTTGTTAAAGGCAGCAAGTTGTATAACAGGGTTAGAGTTCAATTACATCAATAAGAAATAAATCTTATGCCAAATTCAATTCAAGCACCAAACTCACATTCAAATTTAACGAAAATGTTGCATCATCTGAGCTCTATGGAAAGAACGTGACATGCCCAAATACCAAATCAATCTCTCCACGTTGCCCCCAAGAAAGCAAAGGAATTGATTGAGGTTGTTCAGAACAACTCTCACTGCCAGCGGGAGAAAGAGAGAATTTCACTTCTCTCTTTGAAGTCAGTCATTTCAGTTGGCACGTGCTGTATAGTTACAAGCTCATTTTACCCAACGTGGACAGGAGACATTGCCCTGTTCTGTTGTGTTATCAATTAGGAAAATTTTTAGTAGGCCTTTATTTTGCAGCATTAAATCTTATACAACTCTTTTTTGTTTTTTTTGTTTTTTTTTTTTTTTTGCTAATATGTATATAATTTTGTTAATTTTGCCTTTTTTTTTTTTTAAGTTTTGTGTGATTTTAACTTAAATTTAACATTCAGAAACATATACTCTCTGTGAGATTATCTACTATAAGACTCCTTTTTAATTTACCAAGACAAGAAAAAATGAGAACTCTCCAATAAGATGGCAGTAATCTATTTAATTTCTATTGGTTTTAGACACACATATATATTTAAATATGATGAAGTTAAAAAAAATTAAGTTCAAAAAAAATATGATTAAGTTAAAAAATATGCACTACTAGTTGACTATCATGATGTCGTAGAAAGCTTAAAAAAAAAAAATAACAGAAAACTTCTTATCACAGTAAGTACTTCTGTTTTTCCCATTCTAGCAAAAAAAAAAAATGTACTTCTGTTTTTCCCAGCAAAAAGAAAAAAAAAAATTTGACTTCTAAAGTTTTCGTAATACCATGTCTAAAATACTTTTTGGCTGGAACACGTGTAAAGTACTTTAGTTTTGTAGATGTTTTTTTTTTTTTTTTTGAAATACTTTTGTAGAGTTTTTGAAAGTTGAGGAATTGTGATACAAACTTACATCAGAACAATTTCTATTACTAGGTGTTCTAACTATAAAGTCTCAAAGAATTGAATTTGGTGTTTCTTTTTTTCTTTGTCATCTATAAGGAGAGTTTGAATTGAAATTCACACGTTTTCAAATTTGATGCTACACTTTATTTTTTTTTTTTCGCCTTGTTAAGATAGAAACAACTGTTCTATCAAAATGGTCGGTGGTAAAAATTTGAGCTGCATGTTGCATGTCCCATGAATTAATGAAAAACTCCTCTTTTCTAATAATTCATCAACAGCTATATATATATATATATATATATTTATATACATAATATATCATATAAATGACATGTGAAAGTAGGCTACCTAACAGGATAATACTATTTTTTGGAGATCTTGTATTTGATTAAAGGTCAAATGCAAAGATTTTAGCACTTTATAATGTAATCCAGAAAATATAATTCTAAAGCAACGAATAAGATATGGGTGTTCTTTTAATACCCTTAATTTATGCCAAAATGTTGTTAGGTACTTGCATGGATCTTCAGCATCATATGGACAATGACATTGAAGCAAATAATTCAATTAACCAATCTCGTTCATCACTCGTAGACAAATAAACAGGACTAAAAAGACGTCATTCTTATGTTGCTCTATCCTTGTAAGAATTGGAATTACTTTTAACATTCAAATTCCACCAATTTATTTATTTCAACCATAGTAGGAAAAAAAAAAATCTAGCAACTATTTGTTGTAAAAAAAGAAATTGAATACGCTAGAATAAGCTTGATTAAACAACAACAACCACAACAAATCTTAATCTCATCTTAATTAGAGTCGACTATATAGATTTCACTTTTTCACGAGCTCTGTTCAAAATAGACTTTCCTAAAAGCCTGGATCTAGAAAAATAAGCTTGATTAATTTAGAATATTATTTTCTTAGTTAATCTAATAGAAAACAATATGTGGATAAATAAAGAAGGTGATCATTCAACTTGGATTATGTTTAGAGGATTTTGTTAACTCAAAGAGGAGAAAGAGGGAAATAGGCCAAGACTTCAGATGAATTAAAATTAATAAGCCAATAGTTTACATAAGTTAATAAATAGGCCAAATTACTGTTTTCGTCAATAACTTGTCTGGTTGTGAACCATAACTTAACAAGTTATTGTCCATAAATCACAGTTTTTGTCCATAACTTGTCTGGATATGAACCATAACTTGACAAGTTTGTCCATAACTTATTTAGTTATGAACCATAACTTGACAAATTATGGCCTATTAATTTCTATAACTAAAAGTTGGCCTATATATTTCTTTAAGCTTTTCATATTGGCTTATTTTCTACTATTTTCGTTTTTATTTTTTATTTTTTTTGAAACAAACTCAAAGACAATTTTGCATCAGTGATGACTGCATATGAAAATCCTCTATTATAGTTCCCAAGAAAATATTATAATTAATAACTAGCTAGTTGAAAATTTGATAACAAGATTTTCACATCTTGAATTGAAAATTATTGAAATAACCTTGGCCAGAATTTCTCCATTTTAAATCATTAAAATAAGCAAAAACAAGTCAAGCATTCTTTGCCAAATTTAGAAGTATTGTTATTTAATTTCACGCTGATATCAATTTAATTTTTAAGCCTTTTTTTATAAAATATTTTTCATATTCAAACCTAAATGTACAAACCAGAATTCTCCGTCAACAATTTTTCTAAAATCTTTCTCCCTTTTTTTTTATCTCAACCCATTTTTTAAATAATTAATTTTATCAGGCAAAGCACTAATGCATTTGGTTGACTAATAAAGCCTCTAAAATTATTGATTATAAAGAAAGAAAGGAATCACATTTAGCTTTTACCGAGATTAGGGTAATATTTCATGGTGAAGGGGAGAAGTAAAAAGATCATAACTAAAAGAACTAGAGATCTATAATTTTGGTAATCAAATTAAGTGGCTATGATATATATACATAGGCACACTAACAGAACAGTGTTTTAATAAT